GCATTGAGATGCCATTCATGGTTTTTCTCTCCATCCACTGTTTCGACTGGCTAGCCCCACTTTAGACTTAGTGGGGCCTACCTGCACATACCGATGTACCTGGCAAGTTTGCCATCTCCTTCAAATCGCCCAGCAGGGCCAAGTATTCAAATTTCAGGTGCTCCGCTTTGGGTTATGCACAGCGCCCTATGTGTTCACCAGAGTGATGAAACAGGTAGTGTTGCTGCTTCACCAAATGTCAGTACACCTCATTCCATACCTAGACGACTGGTTACTACACAACCCAGACAAGGGGTTATTAGCCAAACACGTCAGGCTAACACAGGATTTACTTCACCAGTTGGGCTCTTTAGTAAATCAGACCATCCCGACCCAACACAACAGTTGGTATTCTTGGGCATGGAGTTTGACACAGAGGTAGACTTGGTATATCTATTTCAAGCGCGTTGCCTAGCGCTAAGCAACCTAGCAGAACGCCTAGTCAGCGTTCCCTCTGTGTCCCTCCAAAAACTAATGCGGATTATCGGAATGATGACTTTGGTTCAAAGGGTAGTTTCCCTGGCTGCGTTACGCAGCTGCCCAGTCTAACGTTTGTTATTGGAACACCCAGCTCACCTGGGAACTAGCCAGGCGAGTATTGATCTCAGACCAAGTGAAGGAAGCCCTGCCCTGGTGGTCCTCACTGGGCAACCTCGGACAAGGGGTCCCCTTGGACCCACTCATCACAGCTATGACTCTGGTAATGGACGCCTCTCTCCAAGGGTGGGAAGCACATCTATTGGACAAACAAGCCCAAGGAATATGGCCCCCGCATTGGGTTCGGGACCGCCATATCAACTGGCTCGAGTTGAAAGTGGTGCACCTAGCACTACTATGCTTTCTACCCAAAGTTCGAGACCACAAAGTCCTGCGCCGCACAGACAACACAGCGGTGGTCTCCTACATCAACACGGAGGCGGGGGGGGGGGGTCCCCATCATTGTCAGTCCTAGCTGAGCAAATTCTCCTTTGGTGCCTGGAATACAATGTGAAGCTAACCACACACCACCTTCCAAGGATGAGGAACAGTCTGGTAGACGCCCTGTCGGGCGGCTTTGTCTCCAGAATACGGAGTGGCAGATACCCCAGTGGGTATCCCCCAGGCTGTTTCGGCTGAGGAACGGTCCAAAGATAGACCTGTTTGCCACACCCCGGAACACCAAGCTCTTGACGTAACGTAACACTCCTGCCAACACCAGGGGCCTGGGCCATGGACGTCTTATCGATCCCATGGACCCACATGGATGCGTACGCCTTTCCTCCCTTCCCGCTAATTCACCGGGTACTAGCGAAACTTTGACAGGAGCCCACCTGAATATTGACTCTGGTAGCGCACAATTGGCCAACTAAGGCCCGGTTTCTGCTCCTGCTGGAAATGCTCGTCGAAACACCAGTAGTGCTTCCAGACCTACCGGACTTGCTGTGCCAACCAGACGGCGCACTACCAATGAGCCCAGCGGTGTACCATTTACAAGCATGGAGGCTCTCAGTATCTATCTAAGCGAGCTACCAACATCCTGGCCAGGGCAAACAGGGATTCCACCAACACTGCCTACAACTCGAAGAGGCAAGCATACACTAGTTGGTGTAGTGGAAGGGAGATTGATTCATGTCATCCCTCTATCGGTCAGGTAGCAGACTTCTTTTTCCACCTGTTTGACGAAATAGGTTTGTCTTACGCAGCGACATAAATCGACTTTCTCGCCAAGAACCAAATCCCAGGACATGATCCCCAGCCAATCGTCATTGGAGGATTAGGAATTTGCTTCTCTACCCGATTTGAGCATCGAGTTGCTACGAACGGTACTAGAATTTCGAAACTGGGAACCAAACACACGTTTTTGTGTTGTGTTTTTGCGGACAGATTTACTACCATCAGCACTCCTTGGAAGCTCCCAGGTCCCGCTTTTCGACCTATGCCCTCATGCAGAACTGTGAATACATACATGTACTACCCCCGAAATTGGGTTAGGGTCTACTAGTAGCTTTCTTGGGAACAACAAACCCAGTCACCGTAGCAGCATTTTTAGCTTCTTGCTCCGGGGACAGCACAGGCAAGGTAAGACACCACACCCTTTTTGTGTCTTACTAGTAACTAAGGTATTGAGTGATTATTGTAGAGTGTTTCATCCCGGACTGGGAAAAGACTTTTCGGCGTCTGACTGAATAGTCATTTTGACTGACCGGAGTCTATGGTGGGTAATTGAACGTAGTGAATTTAGGCAGCAAGCCTATTCACATAGTTCATACCTACCATAGACACCATTGGTCCCCCCAACCACCCCACTCTTTCTGTAGCATTGGTCTAAGTCCTTGATGCGGAGAGAAAGAAACCAGAGTGGGTATCCAGCCATAATGGCGCCGCCATATGGGCTCGGTCACATGGTTTGTGACGTAAGGGAAAAAATTCTTGGGATCATGGGGCTTCTCCTGACCTTGATTCTATCTCTCCATCATTGGCAGAATCGCTGATTAATGCCTACAGTTCAAAATAGTCATTTTGTCTGACCGGAGTCTATGGTGGGTATGAACTATGTGAATAGGCGGGTTTGGAGAACCCTCTGCCTAATTTTGACCATGGATGCACCATATTTTGACCATAAATACACCATATTTGAACAATAGATGCACCATATTTTGGTCATAATTGTTGACACGCCATATTTTCACCATGGACACACAATAGTTTGACCATAGACACACCATATTTTGACAATAGACACACCATACATGTATTTTGACAATAGACACACCATACATTATTTTCTCTGACTCTAGGGCCAAATGAACACCCATTATTGAGAGCTGAATCTGCAGTTGGAAAATGGTAAGAATTAATAAATTAATATTGTAAATCTTTCCTTCTAACAATTCTTCATTGTTTTATGCAATATCACATGACTATAATGGTGCTGCAAGACTTGTCTAACATACATGCAATTACCTGACACTTTGTAATCCATTTTGCAACAGAACTGTATTGCAAATTGTGTAGTGTAGTGAAATAATACCACTTTCTCATCTCCACTTTGTAGTCGTGTCATGTGTTTTCACCCTTGGTCAGATATTACATTACCTCTGATGTCATTGGCTGAAATAAGGAAAGTAATTGACCAATGGGCCGACATTATGCTTGACCTGGGGTCAAGGTTCAAGTGGGTACAGGTGAGATTAACTGTGTTCAGGCTATGCTTAGACTAGGATTAAAGTTTGAATGTTAGCAGGACCGAGTTTGAAAATTAGCTAGATCGAGTTTGAATATCGGCTAGATCTAGTTTGAATGTACATTGTAGGCTAGACCCAGTTTGAATGTTGGCTAGACCCTGTTTGAATGTCAGCTACACCCAGTTTGAATGTTGGCTTGACCCAGTTTGAATGATGGCTAGATCCAGTTTGAATGTCGGCTAGACCCAGTTTGAATGTCAGCTAGGCTCAGTTTAAATGTCAGCTACACCCAGTATGAATGTCGGCTACACCCAGGTTGAATGTCGGTTAGATCCAGTTTGAATGTCAGCTAGGCTCAGTTTGAATGTCAGCTAGCCCCAGTTTGAAAGTCAGCTAGATCCAGTTTGAATGTCGGCTTTTACCGGTATTATATAGTTACAAACAGGGAATTTCATACAGTATTCATCATTTCTGACAAATTAAATATTTGTTTGCAGATATTTGAAAACAAGGGGAAGATTATGGGATATTCTAATCCCCAGTTTGAATGTCGGTTAGACCCAGATGAATGTCAGCTAGGCTCAGTTTGAATGACAGCTACACCTAGGTTGAATGTCGGTTAGATCCAGTTTGAATGTCGGCTAGATTCAGTTTGAAAATCGACTAGATTGTGTTTGAATGTCAGCTAGACCCAGTTTGAATGTCAGTTAGACTCAGTTTGAATGTCAGCTAGACTCAGTTTGAATGACAGCTAGGCTCAGTTTGAATGTCAGCTACACCAAGTTTGAATGTCAGCTAGACCCAGTTTTAAAGTCGACTAGATCCTGTTTGAACGTCAGCTACACCCTGTTTGAACGTCAGCTACACCCAGTTTGAACGTCGGCTACACCCAGTTTGAATGTCAGCTACACCCACTTTGAAAGTCGACAAGACTCAGTTTGAATGTCGGCTTTTACCGGTATTATATAGTTACAAACAGGGAATTTCATACAGTATTCATCATTTCTGACAAATTAAATATTTGTTTGCAGATATTTGAAAACAAGGGGAAGATTATGGGATGTTCTAATCCCCATCCACATTGCCAGGTATGTCATAAGTCTGGTCAAAAACAATATTTCTGTCTACTGACTGAAAACAATGAGAACTATACAAGCATTATATTCTTAAGCATCATGAGAGATTCCATTGTTGCAATATAGGATGTGAATATAAAATGAAAATGTTTCTTTATTATGTTCAGTCATACTTACCTTTCCAAAAGTACAGCATTATATATACTCAGTGGGCTAACAATCCGAGTAAGGCCCTAGTTTAGCACATGCAGGTACCAAGAAATAGATCACCTGTTCTATTCTAGTCAAAAAATAGATTTTGGTTGCTGACCAGAATGCTTCCCACTTGCCTTGGGCAGAAAGGACTGAGCCATGATAGTCACAGAGAAAGGGTATTATTGAATCACTAGGCCCTGGCAGTGCACCAAGGCACAGGTAGAGGAGTAAGCGTCTGTAGGCAGCAGCTAATCGAGCATATCAGCATGGACAATACACTGGTAGGGGTGCTGGTAATTGGATCTGAAATTTTGAGACGGTTACAGAGTGGGCGCGCTGAGTAGAACTTGGACAGATCTGGCCAAGTAACAAGTCCATAATTCTAAATGTGGTCACCAGGTAACAGGGATTCTGGAGGTGAGGAGTCATGAATAAATATGACTGGGTCCTATCATTGCATTAGTTACAGCTTGATGTTGAGGTTATTGATTGAGTAGCTATGAAGAAAAATCAGATTAAACATTCATGGGATAAACAAATATTTGAGTCTACTAAGGCGTTTTGTGAAATTTTCTCAACACCCCCCCCCCCCCCGACCTGAGCCTTCAGAAATACAAGTAGAGTAAACTGTGGTGGCAACTACATGAAGGCACCGATCGCCAATGACCAATGCTATTGCACCATTAGATTCACAACATCTCCTGTAATAAGCCAGTTGATGAACCTAGAAATGCCATTTTTCAGCAAAAGAGAATGCTTTAGGAGGCAGCATGGCATTACATACATGTACATAGCCAGTGTCATACATTGTATCTCCTTAAGAGAAATGTCCTGCACGCTGGATGTGTTAGCTGCTGTTGTTTCTGACTGAAAGGCAACATTTGATAGGGCAATACAAGAATTTGCTGATTGTCAGGTGCCCCTTTTGAGGTTCTCAACTAAGGCAGCTGCCAAATGTAATGTTTGTCAAAACTATGGATCAGACTCAGAAGTACCAATGTAGTGACAAGGGTCATTTTCAATATGGTATGGACGTAGTAGGGGTCAGGACACTGGACTGGTTGATATCTCAGCACCTAAATATTTTTGGAGTATCGATAGACATGTGTTTTTTGAGCGCATACACTGTTAGGGGGGATTTCCTTCAGTGCAAGCGGTTTCTCGCCGTTCACTTCTCGTGGTGTCACACCTCCCAACATTCCTAACAAACAGGTCAACATGCATACAGGACCTGTTAGTTCTTTCAGTAGTTAAACTCAACAATTACAAGAAGTATGATACTATGTACATCAGAGGGGGGGGGGGGGTTACTTGCTACATGTATCTCAAAGACTATTATCTACATTTACACCCCAAGTCATTCGCTTCATGATTCATGGAAGAACATACCAGTTAAATGTGTGGCTGTTTGGTCTCAATGGATTTTGAAATGTGCCTGGGCCTAGTCAGGCCGATGCTAGAGTCTGAGTGGCAGTCTCCAACCCCTCAGTACATTAATTTGTGGGAATGACTTTATCCATGAAAGGAATGCTCAGAGTCCAGGTCTTACACTGTTGTCTTGCATTATCATTATAACAATAAATCTTTTACTCAATCTTTACTGTTTACATTTCTGACTACGTTTGCTGTGTTTTAAACAGTATAACAGTAAATCACTTTCCTATGCATAAAATAAAGACTTGATAACCTACCTGAAATCTTGTAACAGCATTTAAACAAAATAGTTGTTATTATCTTATCTCATTTCATATTGTTTTTTCATTAACTTTATTTTAACTGTAACCAAATTATAAATTACAATTTTTTCAACAGTTGGAATAAAGCATTTTTTAAATATTTTTTACCATTATTTTTATTTGATATCTTCCTGTACTGGTTTAAGAACTGAAAAAACATTTTGACTGTTTCACTGATTTTATTTTCCCTTTTTCATTCCTTCAGCGAAATAATAAAAATACATTCCAAGTGAATATATATATAGTATACACAAAATATAAATATATTTTTTGTCAATAAATATTGCCTTTGTGTAACAGGTGTGGGCAAGTTCATTTCTACCAAATGAACTCAAACTGGAAGATGATCAACAACGAGATTATTATAAGAAAAATAAAATTCCTATGCTGATGGATTATGTCAAGGTGGAAATGGAAAAAAAGGTTGGTACACTTTTACTAAATGTCCCTTGTTTGTTTCTTGAAATTGTTGAATAAAACAGGATTGAGACACCATGCCCAATAAATAAGAACAGAACCATTGAGGAACAGTACGGTACGTGTTAAGGACATCCAGACTGTAGACGTAATTTTAAAATCACTAACCGTGGTTTGGATTACAATGTTACAAATTCAAAAGTAAGTTCAAAACCACAAAGCTGAGGCAGTATGAGTAGATACGTTTGAATTCTTACTGAATTAGCTTTGACATGCCAACAATGTCTTTGCGATGCAGGGAGCCATTTTGGCAATATTTACTTTATGACCTATTTGATCCCAAGGTCACTCTTTAAAAAAAAAAAAAAAAACATGGCTGACTCTATCTCTATCTCTTTCACTGTTTATTTTGACAAGATCATTTTCGATGACATAGTCCCTGTCCAGTTTTCAGTTACTGTGTCAATCAAAAACAATGACAGATGTAGATTATGTAGGAGTATGAAAATAAAACATTTTGGATTAAATTACAATGCAGACATGCATTAAAACTATTATCCACAATGCCAGAGAAATGATTGAAATGTTTTTTGGAACTAAAATGGCCACCAGGTCGTGGTCAAAATGAAAAACCAGCTGGTAACAATGGCTCATTGTGACACTTTGTTTTGAAAAGAATTTAGCACAAAACACAGCTTTTATGAATTCTGAGAACGATATGTCTACCAAGTTTCAAAAAATAGCTAGTGATTTAGTGTTTTTTTTATCAAAATTGACCGTTGGTCAGCCGAATTGAATTGAATCACACACAAAAATTGGTGCAGATGTATCTTCATTTGTACTAAGATTAAATAAATCTGTAAAAGTGTATCTGATAAAAAGGGGGAAAATATGTAAAAAAAAATCAGCGAAATTTGTTTGAATCCCTCCAAAAAAATGTGTATTTGTAACCTAATATGTATAATCATCATACCAACTTTGATCAAAATTATCATAGTCATGTCTGAGAAACAGCTGCTGACACATTTGAGAATCAAAAATAGCAAATTTTATTTTCAAAATGGCCACCAGTTAGCTGTAAGACATGATGTTTTGTCTTTGTGTAAAGTTTGAATGATCAATGTTTGAGATACATGTATGACTCCAGACAGACATACAGATGCACCCCAAATTAATAGTCCCCGGGTGGTGTTAATTTGGCAGGATGTGGTTAATCAGTGGAAACAAACAACAATTGTATTTTTCTGGTTATCTATGAAATATATATACAGGTATATGGCCTAAACAGGAAATCCACCACCAAAAACATAGATTTTCCTTTGAAAATCACCTGACATGGTTTTAAGTTGTTGCCATTGTTATGTAATTTATTAATCTTTCAAATGGATGACCCTTTTTACTGACATCATGTCTTACATGATTGGGTGTTTTTCAAAGGCTCAAGGTTGGGATAAGAAAATTGATAGTGGGTGGAACAGAAATTCTGTAGCTAATGTATAGGAGTACCATACTCCAGGCGGAGGAACCCGGGATAATGTTCAGGGTATATGAGATCTCATAGCAACTATTGCTAGTGTGAACATGGAACATTTTATACTAAGGCTAGTTGTGAGTGACTTCCCATTCTATTGTTTGTATTTCAAATGTTAATTATTTTGATGTGGAATCACTGTTACATAATTTTGCTTATTCATACAATTAGTGGCATTCACATTAAAGATCTCGGCACGTGACTCAGGACCGAAATGTTTATGTGAACGGTCGGGACCAAGTTGGCAGGCGCCGAGATTTGCTGACTGAACGCTCTGCACAAGCTGAAATCAAACCCTCGGTAGTGAATACCAGTAAGACATGACGATCGAGAAAAGTGCAGCTATATATGGTTGGATGCTGTAGTAATGAATTAAATGAATGCAGAACGTTGTCTGCGACGTATATTTATGTGCTGCTGCAACTGTTTCATGTGCAGTTGCAGTTCATGTGCATGATGAAATAAATACCATAAGAGCAAATGGATATAATTTCAATATAGTAATTATTATTATCATCATATGCATATCGTTTTTTATGTTTGGGTCAAATAATAGGTCAAAGAATGAGGGCGTGATTTTGGCATGAGCCAAGTCGGTCCCAAGTGGGTCCTGACTAACATGAACGCAACTATTGTAATCCCTCTACAAACACAAAAATTAAAAATTTAGGCACTTGTTGTAATGAAGTGATATATATTGTAATCAATATCACTGTTTCTTCTTTTATAGTTTGTGCAAAAGTTTAATTTAATATTTGATGTAAAAGTGGAAATTATAAAGCCTCAATGGGCCCTCGCTAGGCTTAAAAAAACATTTAGTAAAACTGGTCATAAAGTCACTGTAATCTAACATGAGTGATACAACAATGAATTTTTCCAAAATTATTTTTTTAGGCATTCTATAATAAATTTTGCCTTTGGAAAATTGATGAATGGGTGACCCAATATTTTTATTCCATTTTCTTCATCTTCATCACATGGAATATCTAGAATAAAGTAAACAATTATACTCATTCAAAAGCTTTTCTGTTTTGCATAATCATTAATACATAAAAAAAAAAGTAATTATTTGAGAATTTTACTTGTACCAATACTTCATGTGTTTAATCACTATGAATTTAATAGGATTCCTTCTCAGTTCACCAAGAATACTAGCTAGAATAATAGGAGCAATTAATAAGGTAATATCAACCAGGAAATGTTGACCATCATTAATTTTGTTTTCTGATTTTATTTTGCTTTCCATTAGGAACGAATGGTTGTTGAAAATGCATACTGGCTTGCAGTTGTTCCATATTGGGCTACATGGCCATTTGAAACAATGCTTTTACCAAAACGACACATATTACGACTTCCAGATCTCTCTGATGAAGAACGTGATGGTCAGTCAAGTATTCTATCCATTCTCTAACACACTTTTACAGATTTTGTTTAAATTTGGTACAAAGATAAAAATGATTGAATTTCTTCAGTTATTTTGATTTTGATGAAATTTATAACCAACTATTTTCATCAAATGTTTCTTAGGCATAATAACATCACACGTGATGGTTACGTGTGCATGCCATTTTTTGCTATTTTATTTAAAATGGCTGACTGGCTGCCATGTTTTTATTTTCAAGAATGTATGTATGTACTGTCATTTTTTCAAGAACCAATCATGAAATTTGGAACATAGATCTTGTAGAACAATGCACACCGCTGATTAGTTTAGAGCATACTAATTACCTGATTGGCATAATTTGCATCTCAAATTTCATTGTCATGTTGTGCATCTCAAATAGCAGACTTATATTAGTTGCCAGGCTTTTTGTTTTGCCTGGTCAAATTGCAATAAAATTTGACTTTTTCTTTACCCATCGTGGGTAACATCATTTATGTGTTTTGATGGCCAACTGGTGGCCATATTAGTTTTGTTAGTTTTATTGTTTCCTCAACCATTCCTATCTCTTGACAGAATGTTTTAAAATTTGTTACAAGGACAAGACATAATTTTGTGTTCTCAGATATTAATTCAACCAAATATGTCACAGACAATGACTTTCTGTCTCTCAGACAGGGACTATGTCACTAACAATGTCACACTAGCAATAACATGTTGAGTTTATTTTTCTGTGTCTATGTGCAATCTGATTTTATTTTATTTTATTTTATTTTATTTTGATTTATTATTTATCTGTTGATAGTTTTTTAAGTCTTGGTAATTGTGAATGCTAAGCATTAATTAATTAACAAACAATTCCAATGTACAAGAAAAAAGATCATGTTGAGTCACATGGGTTTCAATTTGAAGACAATCATCTCAATCAAGGGTTGGCCAGAGAAAATGTCTGGAAAAGGTGGTTAAATACTCAATTTTCCATTTGCCTTTGAAGGATAAAAAATCATGTTCTGTTGTGTACTGTGACAGACAATTTATTTAATTTTTTTTTTTACTGATGTGTTCTTGACCCTATTTTCTTGTAAGTTGCACAAAACACGTCCAGACATGTACCATCTAGATCGTCATTGCTCCGGCAATCTAAATGTGCGGTTGACTGCCGATCGATAAGCCCTGTCCAGCAGGAATTATTTTTATTTTCTTGCAAATTATTGTTATACGTTTGATAATTCTCATAAATTATCAGTGGCAATTTGGATTCTCGTCATTAAACTGTTTTTTTTTCAAAATTCCACACTACGACCACGTCAAAAAAATATCAGTGGCGAGGATAATATCAATTGTAGATCAGGTGCAATAAAGTGTCAGTTTTTCGCTCTAATATAATTTATTTTGCAATTCATTCAGTGTAGCAATACTCTATGGGCAATCTTCTTGTATAATATTATAGATGACTTTCGTTGCATTTGACAATGATAAAGTTACCGAAAAGTCATGTTTTTCCCGATCATTTTCATCATTAATGTCGGTATAATCCGCCATTTTATTTGAGTGTGTTTGTGACCTGATTCTGACCAGTGACATCATCAGGTTCGCTATAGAAGTAGGTCTGTGATTCGTTGACTAAACCAGTCAGAGGAGGTCTCGTTGAAATTTCATTACATGGACATTGGTTCAGATGTATGTGGCGATAGTTAAAAAAAACAAAAAATGCAAAATAATTGAAAAAATACACGCCGTACATCAGATTTTAATCAGATTGTCTATATGTGTTGACTTGAATTTTTTACAGGTCTGGCAGATATTATGAAAAAACTTTTAGCAAAATATGATAATTTATTTGAGACTTCATTTCCATATTCAATGGGATGGCATGGTAAGTCCTTTCTCTATGAACTTCCTTATTTGTCCCAGAGACTTGTGATTTGGGTTTCATTCAAGCTTTGTGTGTGTGTGTGTGTGTGCGTGTGCGTGTGCGTGTGCGTGTGTGTGTGTGTACGTGCGTGCGCGCCTGTGCGCGTGTGCGCGTGTCTGCGTGTCTGTGTGTACTTGGATTGCTATATGTTGCGAGGACAAAATTACAGATATATAGCAACTTCCGAGGACATACACACCTTCCGAGGACCTTTTTCATAGTCCTCGGAAAACATAATTTATATTAATAGTTAATTCGATTATTAATACGTTTTGCGTAGCTTAGGTT